AAACCTGAAACCCTAAAACCTAAACCTTAAACCCTAAACCCTAAATCCAAACCCTAAACCCTAAACCCTAAACCATAAATCCTAAACCCTAAACCCTAAATCCTAAACCCTAAACCCTAAACCCTCATGGAGCCCCTGCAACCCTGAAGCCGAAACAGTAAGCTCTTCGCATGAAACTCCGAATGAACTCCGAATGCATAAACCCGTCTAGTCTATTCAAGCCCTAAACCCCCAAACACGCATCAAAATGTGAGCGCATATGAAAAAGCGTTATTGCTTCTAGGATCACTGTTGCTACTGCGATGTTGCTTGCTTGGTATTGTTTTCGACATTATGATTGATATTTCTTAATATTAGTATAGGTATTATCATTGTATTGGTGTTTGATATTTTTACAATTATTCCTATTCTTTTGCATGATGATTATGACCGTTGTTAGTACTATCATTATTGTTGGTACTATTACTGTTGATATTATATGAAATTACCATTCTGATTCTTATTACCACTGCCACTGCTACTAATATTATTAGTCGTCGTCGATATTAGCATCATTATTGCAACTATTTTGCACTAAAAAAGCACTGCGGCTTGTTAAGACCAGCGAGGCAAGTCTCAGCGCCTTGGGCACCTCGGTGATGTTCTCCTGGATGATCGGCCGCTTCCGCTGCACCGTCCTCCCCGAAAGGTGCATCTTTGAGGTTTTGGTCTTTAGGGTCTCAGGGCTTGCGGGCGTAGGGGTTTTAGGGTTTAGGGCTTAGGGTTTAGGGTTTAGGGTTTAGGGGTTCAGGGGTTTAGGGGTTTACGGTTTTAGGGTTTGCGGTTTAGGGCTCCGCGTCTTTTGTAGATTTTGTTGGCGCGTCTAGCCGTCTCGGAGGTTCCAGCTGTTTCTTCTTGTTGGGGAAACGTTGAGGGGGAATTGGTCAGGGATTTGGGGGCTTTTTGGGTGGGCTTGGGATTCAGGGTTTGGGCGTTCAGGGTTCTGGGGGTTTGGGGGTTCTAGTGGCTTGCGGGTTTAGAGTTTGAGGGCTTAGGGCTTGGAGTCTTCAGGGGCTTTTGGGCCTCTGGGGGCTGCGAATTGAAGGACTGAGGATTTACCCTAAACCCTACACTCGAAACCCGTAACCCTGAACCCTAGATGCTATTCTTTGGGGTCCAGAATAAGAAGGCTCCTGACTCCCGATGCAAGGGTTCCTTTAAGGGTTCCCTTAAGCGTTCCCTTGAAACGGACCCTTAAAGCAACACTATAGATCCCTAAACCCTAAACCCTAAACGGGTTTAGGGTTTAGGACCCCTTGGGGATTCAAGGCTGCAGCTTCCGATCCAAGAGGGAAGCAGCAAGCATGTCTGTAGCTTGGGGCTTAAGGCTTACAGGGCTGACGGTTTTGAATTTAGTTTAGGGCTTCGGGTTTAGGGTTTACGGTATTGAATTTAATTTAGGGTTGCGAGTTTAGGGTTTGGGGTACCACGAACTCTTTGCAAGCATCCTTGCAATTCCTCTTCCCTCCAAGTCCCCCCGAAGCCGAAATCCCCAACCCGAACCAGGCAGGAAAGGTGCCTTATTACTTAGAATTGGGTTTTGGGCATAAACCTGACGAGGGGAATTTTATTGGTTCTAACATTTACTAAACCCTAAACCCTAA